CAGGAGAGACCACCTTATAATCCACGTGTCTGGAACAAAAAGCAAAGTCTTAGTGTGAGATCATAGAGTTTTTTCATCAAGTTTTAGAAATGTTAAACCTCCAGTGTTAGGATGGTAGCAATAATGTTAAACCACTATTTGTTGTTACTTGGTGACAAATTAGAAGGGGAAAAAAAAATGCAGTCTTAGTAAGGTCAACATGTGCTGTCAGAATACCTTTAATGCACCTTTGCACCCTTCCTCTACAAGATAACCTAATTCTTCCAGATGTTTCAGTCCTGTTAATTTATAGCACTCATGTGTTATTTGTCACTTTATGGGTATTTAACTAGAGTCCCAAGTGTTTCGCATACAATAAATCTCTTTGTAGAACAGCCTCTGAAAATATCTGTATGTGTTTGTTTTGGCTCTCACATCAGCAGCTCGACGAGCCTGCGACAGACTCCCGAGTCAATAACAGCCTGGATTTTGTCATTTGGGCCATCTGATAGGTAGGAGAGTGCCCAGCATGCGTCAGCTAGGATGTCCGTATCGTTTACAAACAGCAGCCAAGACAGCACGCTGAGACACGGAGACACCTGCAAGAAACAAAGGGACACATTCAGCAGGTGTAACTGTTATCCAGTTTAGCATATTAGTATCTTCATATAGCCTTTGACCTTGAAATCTGAGATACGATGTGCCTTTAAGCAGTCTAAGAGGTGTGCAGTTACCATAGTGATGTGTTTATCTTGGCAAATTACCTTAGTGAAATCTGGAGGTGGGTTCTTTCCTCTGCACAGGTTTGAGAGCGCCCACACTGCGTTCCTCATCATTGTTAGACGATTCTGTTTGGCCAATAACCTGCAAGAGGAAAATTTGACGATCACAATCAAAGTTGCTCTTTGTTTCCCCGTAGAGGCAACTTCAAAAGCAGAGAATGTAAGACTGAGGGGATACTTACTGCACCAGTGAGGGCAGTATGTTGCAGTCTATGACAAAGTCTCTGCATTCTGTGCTGTCTCCTGCTATGTTTCCCAAGGCCCACACCGCCTGAGGGGTGAAGCAATTATTCAAGTCAAACAATAAAAACAACATGAAAAACTACAATTTTAATCAGTTTAAATTTGACCTCAACAAGCTGCCAGAGGTTAGTAGACACCAGGAAAAGTAAAAATGAAGCCTCCTCACCTGTTCCTGTACGTCCTCAAAATCCGAGCTGAGCATCTCTATGAATATAGGTACAGCTCCTGCCTGGATGACCACCCGTGTCTGGTGAGACGTACCTGAAGCAATGTTGGTCAATACCCACGCAGCCTCAAACTACAATCATATTTAAAATAGATGAAGAAAGTTAGTGCACTGAACTCACAACACATGCAACTTTTTAGATACGATGGTGAAACAGGAAGAGCACATTACAAACAAACATGAGGGAGAAAAAACAAAAATCTACAAGCTTCAAATATAATCTAAAATTAGTTTTCTAGGAAAACGTACCTGCAATGTGCAGTTTTCTCTTCTTTTCAGAAACTCCACAAAGCGCTCTACCACCCCTGGAGTGGCAATGACTTCATCAATAGGTGGGTTGGGTTCTGCGTGTGAGGGAGGGTGAGGTGACGTAGCAACAATTAATACAGGCACACTTAACAGCATTACACCCCATGTAACATTCACTCCAGCCACACTGATATTGTGTAGTTCTGAATTTTGGGCAGCAGTTAACTGTGAGACAGAGTGGCAGATTATGCAGCTCAAAACAATGCTTTTGTCCTTGCACTGGGCCTCAACCAGTCATTATCCTTCCCTTGTAAGACATACTGAAACAAATGCAAAGACAGGAGTGGCTGTAATGGGCAAAGTTAGGGTCCTGCTTACCTTTAGAAAGTAGTTTCCTAAAGCGCTGAGTACCTATTAGCTGCTGCTCAGGAGAGCTGGAGAAAATCATTTGAATCATGTCTTCAGAGATCACCCCACCCTGTGTGGCACAATAATGGGGATTTTTTAAAAACACATGAATTGCTGTCACAGCCGACTTGATGTGTGCAGTAAGTGATGCCATCTCATACGCCTGGATATCAGGAATCTTTTTGGTACAGTGAATTTTGTCAGTTGACAAGAGGGAAGCGTAACTACACTTTTGAATGTTTCACTCTCATTTTTGCCCCTTGGAGCAGGGAGTCTGCTTAGTGGTGCTGAGAAAGCTGTAGCTCACTCCTCTTAAACATACTTAGAGACAGTGCCCTTACTGATTAGAACTAAATGCATCACATAGGAATTTATGCAAATTACAGTTTGTGTGATAAAATGTAACTTTGCACACATCATTGTGGTCTGGTGAGGCAACAAACACACTGCACGGTGTGTGAAAGATTCAACATGCTATTTGTGTGGCTCACTGCGTGTCAATGTCACTGCATGCATCAAAACTTGTGCTGTTTAGAACATGATACAGAAAAGCTCCTCTACAGCCTCCAGCCTGAGTTTTACAGAAGAATGACCAAAATATTAATTTAGACATAAAGCCAAGATTTTTAGATGCCATCTGATTACCAGAAAGGAGTGTATGTGTGACAGAGCAGACATATGAATGCCTTCTCACCATGAGTGGGTCCATGTTGTTGGCCTGGGACTCCAGATAGCCGCTATCAGCCATCCCATCCTCATCCAGGATGCCATCATCCTCCACAGTGGCAACATTTCTTCTCTTAAAAAGCTGCAACAGAAGGACAAATATGCATTTCCCTTCCAAAACTAAATTGCTACAAACAAAGCATGGCCTCAAGTTTACTCCAAACACTGTCAGTATGTAATTTCAGGATCATTATGACGGTTTTAGTTGTACAGTATAACACTTTGCTTACTTGCTCATCCTTCTTCTGTTTACGGAGCTGCAGGCCTTCCTCTTCCCTCCTCCTTCTCATCTCATCTGTGTTGAGAGACTTATTCTTGTAGCTTTTGAGGCGTGCATTGTCCTTACCCTGACTCATTGTGCAGCCTGAGAAGAGTAGGAAGTCTATTATTTGGATATGCTTTGGAGCAAATCTTTCAAAGTTCCCAACTGAGAAACAAACCCTCTGGTTTTTTTTTTTCTTTTTTATTAAAACACCACCAACTGTACTGCAAAGACTAGCGAGACAGACACCAACTAACGTAGCCAACGCTGGCATAGCTACCGGTGTGTATCATTCCTCTCAAAAAAGATTGTTCAACAAACAGGGTCATGTAAGGATAGCAGCTAGCCTATTAGCTTCCTGTGGCTTGATGCTGCGTGGAAAGAAAGCATCGTTTTACCATCTACTGATCGGGGTCCAATATTTCCGTTGTTAACTCACAACTCGGACAAGCACAAGGAAAACCTAAAAGCACAAGTCCCCCGGGAGGGTACACTTGATCAGCTGGCTAATGTCAACGCCGCTCTTAGCCTCCTCTACTATCGAAAGCTAGCTGGCAGCCAGCGGCTAACTGCTGTAGCTAACGTTAGCTTAGTACTAAAATCCAACATTAGCGTTAGCGCAAACGACAGACCACCGTCTCAGACAGTAAGAATTCATTTAACTTTTCATTATAAATCGCTGCCACACGTACACAGCCAAAATGTAAACGTTTTTCGTTATCTAACCTGTCAGATTGGGCTCCGTAATCCCCTTATTCGCTAGGCCACCGTTTGAACAGCCGTCGCCGGTATGCTAGTGCGCACGCGTCAACTAAACGCAAACAACCCACAACTCCCCCGCACGTATCTAAGCTCCGCCCCCTCCTACACCTCTTCCCCCCCTTTCTTTTTGCTTTGTAAATAAACAGAAATGTGACTTTTGCTTCATAAACAGTTTGACAAACAAGCGGTGCCTGCAGGGTTTATATTCATGGTATAACCGGCATACACACAGCCTCACTTCGTGTGTGATTGTGCAGGAAATACAACTGTGCGCTCAGCTTCGAAAAAGGACCGCATCTATCCATTTATCCTACCTCACCTCTATGTATGTGCTCTCTATAAGCGCAGGTGCAGCTCTTGGATGTGACACATCTCTAATGTAGTCTAGACGCTCCGGCGCCAGGGGTCATCGGGGGACACACACACAAACAACAAGTAACACAACGTGGACCATCATCATCCTCACACACACACACACACGGCCCATTGTCAGATACAAGCACATTAGAAGTACGAATAATAATAAAACTGTAAACAAGTGACAAAATAAGAAAAGACAAAGAAAAAAAACCCAAACACATGCAAAACTAAGGGAAAGAATGGAGATTTGAACTTAACAGATTAAATCACATAATTCACTTTGAATTCTATCTATCTATCTATCTATCTATCTATCTATCTATCTATCTATCTATCTATCATACAATTAAACACCGTGTGTGTGTGTGTGTGAGAGAGAGAGACAGAGAGCGAGAGGGGATGAGAGGATAAAGGCCAACGCACTACGATAGAAAAAAATGCATGAACTCTGCGTGACCCAACTATACCAAGACAGTTCACCTATTATGAGCCTTTAAAGTAAGCTTATAGCTAAATAGTCTTGATATTTAATCAACAGGTAAGGTAACCCCTGATTCTGTTCACATGGACGGAGTTTTTTCAGTGCTAAATAGTCTCCACATCCCGGCTCTTATTATTTATTTTGCTGCGTTATTTTGCAAAATTATCCAATCTAAACATAAACTACATAAATGAGTGCGATGCAACATTTTGCTCTTGGTGTTTTCAGTCCTTTATGTCCATCTTATGTGTCGTTTTTTTCTGTTATCAATCAACCAACCGATCATTCGATTAAAGGCCTGTCAACGGGCTTCGTAAAGGTTCTTATAAGGTCACCAGAAAGCTACATAAAAGACTGCACCTGCACCAAAGTTCTTTTTTTCTCTCTCTCTGCCTCCAAAAAACGTCGCCAGGCTGCATGCAATCTATAGGATCCAAACATTGTTGCATTTTAAAACCATCTTCAGTGAGCTATAAATATGAGGCGCTCCAAACACACCCTCAGTTTTACTTCTGCCAAAAAATGACCACAATGCCGAGACGACTGGAGGTCCAGAGCTCGATCGTCACTGGTGGGGACAGCTTTAACATGTGGCACGACTACATGAATCTGAGCCAAGTGTTCGAGAGACTGTGCAGCAACCGTGAGGTTGATAACCGAGACACCGAGCGTCCAAAGAAGGGACAAGCGCCCCCCTGGAGTAAGGTCCACACTTCCACTCGGGGGAAGAAATCCTCCAAAAACTCATCGCAGTCCAGTCCGACCAGCAGCGCGTCGGACACCAGCAGCAGCGCGTCATCCTCGGACTACTGCCGCTTCTGCAAGCAGAACGGGGAGACTCCGAGGGTGTACCGATCTCACAAGCTCAAATCAGACGACGGGAAAGTTTTCTGCCCCATCCTCCGGAACTACACTTGCCCTATCTGCGAAGCCACCGGTGACAGCGCTCACACACGCAGGTACTGCCCGCAGATGAAGTGGGAGGCGGCTGGGAGGATGCAGACGGGAGTCAAGTTCTGGTAGCTGCTGAAAACTGAAGCTGCGAGAAACTGTACATATTTACCGAACTGTTTGGGGTATGTGTTCGTGTTGGCAGAGACCGTTTCAGTTCCAAAGACTGTTTCATGTTTGACTGTCAAACACTCCGCTGCAGTCTGCAGCAAGGAGCCCTCATCCATCACATCTG